GAATATTAACCTTCATCAGGCGATGAAAGGAGACAGAGACAGAGACCCACATTGGAGCACCGGACTGAAATCTCAAGGTCCAAATCAGGAGCAGAAGGAGAGCGAGCACGAGCAAGGAACTCAGGACCGCGAGGGGTGCACCCACACACTGAGACAATGGGGATGTTCTATCGGGAACTCACCAAGGCCAGCTGGCCTGGGTCTGAAAAAGCCTGGGTTAAAACAGGTCTCACTGAACATAGTGGACAATGAGGGCTACTGAGACCTCAAGAACAATGGCAATGGGTTTTTGAGTCATTATTTCATTTTCTATACCACTGAATGAAACTCCACTGTGCATGTACACCCATTTTCATCATCCATTTATGAGTTAATAGATATCTAGGCTGACTTTACCTTGCTACTGTAAACAAAATACCAATAAACATGTAGATGTAGCTATGGTAAGACTTTAAATTCTCAGTGTATTTATAATGGTACAGCTGTACCACAGGATTCTACTTTTTGATTTTTTTTTAAAGAAACATTTATAATTATTTTCATAGTGTTCTCACAAATTTGCAATCTCTCCAGCAGTGACTAAGTGTTCTTATCTACCCACAGTCTCCTGCCTTTCTTGATGGTAGCCATGCTAAGGTGGGACGGAATCTTACATCAGTTTCAATTGTCATTTTCCTTAGGTGCTTAGATTTCTACTAGTCATATGAAAGATCTTTATAGGGGAATAAGTCATGTGACTAAAAGCTTGGAACGTGTAGTCCCACCCTGCAACAAGCAGGGAGAGAAGATGGTTGGGTAACTTAATTAACCAATGATGACCAGTGATTTCATAAAACTCACCTTCATTCTCAATAAGTAAGTCTTGGCGAGCCTTTGTGTGGATAAAGAATGTGGTGGGAGGCCCACCTGGAGTGGGGATAGGAGTTTTGTATCTTTCAAAAACACTTTATGCTGTACATTTCTTGCATCTGGTTATTCATGTCTTTTTATTTTACAATTTCCTCTACAATATGTAAATAGATAAGGTATTGCTCTGAGTTTTGTGAGCATCTTTTGTGAGAATCTTTATCAAATTTAATCCAAGGTGAGGTCACAGGTGCCCATAGTTGTTTTATAAGCATAGGTCACAACCTGGTATTTATGACAGACATATGAGTTGAGGCATTCATATGACATCAAACACTTAATGTGGGTTCTGAAGCTTCTACCAGGTAGTGTCAAGACTTCAAATGTAACGGTGTTTGATGGAGAACTGATTATTAATAATAGGGAGAAACACCAAGCCATTTTGGATGCTTTGTTGTCATATGTGCATATAAGAATATGACAATTTAGTTTCTTTTTTCTTAAGCCCCCCCCAATTGTTCCTGATGCAATTATTTTACATAGTCAAATCTGTTTTCACTTAAACATTGTTTTTGTTTATAATATTGAAAGATATTTATCATAGAAGTGTCAGGTGACTTTTCTTTAATGTATATAGCTTTTCATATTTTGCTTAAGATTTCTTTGTGTTCCCAGTATCTAATATAGTCAAATGGTCAATAAGTATCTGACAGCATAACAGACAATGATGAGAAGAGTGGATTATAAATCCTCCCTAGGTGTCACTCATATGCTACTCATTTGTTTGCTTTCTGTCGCAGGTATCTTCAGAGAAGAACAGAAATGCACATTCCGAGCAATGATCCAGGGCTTCTTCTGCAAGCAGACTGACCACGTGATCCTAATTCTCCATAATGTAGATATGCCTTGGACAGTTGCAAGGTCATACCCACTTGTATCTGTTACTAATGGCTTTGTTGATACATTTAGCAGGGTAAAGGACAGTACCCTATGCTCTAGCACTTCCTCTACGTCTACTTTCTATTCCATCTTACCTACCAGGCAAATCACCAAAGTATGCTTTGTGGAGCAAACACCTCCATTATTGCGTTTTTTTCTACTTGGCAATAGAAGTGCCTCCAAGCTAGTTCTGGCTGTGTTCTACAATGAGATTCAGAGCCCTCATGTTTTCTTAGAAAAAAGATTTATTCCACCTACTCCAGTAGAGTCAGCGTCTTCATTGTTGGATGAGTCTGCTGGTGCCAACTACTTTGACATCATGAATAACCTCTTATATGTTGTCCTGCAAGGAGAGGCGCCTATTGAAATACACTCAAGTGTTTCCATTCATTTGGCTTTCACTGTGACATTTTCAGTCCCAGAGAAAGGCTGGGAAAGAGTGATGCTTGAAAGGCTAACACACTTCTTACAGATTGACCCAAACCAAATCAAATTCAAGCTTGAGATGCCTGGCAACAAAGAGACCTTAGAAGCCATTGCAAACAGTAGAGGAAAACGAAAGCGTAATTGCCCAACTGTAACTTGTGGTGGTGCTTCTACCAGATCTGGTCAACGCAGACCTCTCATGGCAAAAGTGATGCCTTATAAAATCACACCAACAACCTCTGTGGAAACTCTCTCAAAGGTGATTGTCATTGAAATAGGTGATCTGCCAAATGTAAGGAGCACTGAATTTATTCCATCCTTACCAAGCAACAGGCTGCAGAATTTGGCTCACCAAGTTATCACTGCTCAACAGACTGGAGTCCTGGAAAATGTTCTTGGAATGACTGTGGGGGCCCTACTAGTGACTCAGTCAGAGGGAGTCGCAGGCTATAGGTAAGCATTATCAGAACATCTTGATGAAGGGTGATTTCTTGGGCCTGTATTCTTTACAATCAACTGCAAACAATTCACTAGAATTCAAATTTTAAAAAGCCAAAGCTACACACCTAATTAGAGACAAATTCAATCAATTCATTTATTGACATTAAAAAAAAACACATTTAGGTGAAATACAGTTCTATCACTTTCTCTGTCTCTTTCATCCTTCTAGCCCTTCCCACTTATTCTCCCTTT